TTAAAATACTTAGACTTAGGGACGGGCCGTTTAGCCAATTTCATGGCCCTACCCAAAATAATGATACGCTAGTCGCTTTAGGCGCGCATTTAATAATGTTATTTTCCTAAACTCGGGTGCACATTTATGTGACCCAAATCCAAATCTCAACGAAGTTGGAACGTATCAAAAATTGCGGGTACATTTATGTGGCGCAATTCGAGATGCATTCTCACGACATTGCAATTCTTTGAATAAATAATAACAAAGCGGTAAACAGTTAAAATTTGCACGTAGGTTCATAATTGTATAAAATCAGATAATCAAGCCGAATACGACAGTTGAGCGACCGTCTAGAACCACGGAACTCGGAAATGCCTAACACCTTCTCCCGAGTTAACAGAATTCCTTATCTGGATTTCTGGTGCGCAGACTGTTAAACAGAGTCAATATTTTCCTTAATTCAGGATTCAACCGGTGACTTGGGACACCATAAATCTCCCAAGTGGCGACTCTGAATCTTTAAATAAAATTCTATTTCGATTATCCTTTAATTGGAAAAAAACTCTCTTCCGCGTCCCTTTGAGGCGGCGCGGGCGAAAAAGGAGGTGTGACAAGTACATTTGAATTGTACTGGTATATAAGGCAACTAAAAGAAAGAATTATAAATGCTGAAACTGAAACTGAAATGATAACTGAGAACTGATAACTGATAAATGAAATGATAACTAATAAATGATAACTGGACTGATAATTGGTAACTGAACTGATAACTGGTAACTGATATGATAACTGATAATTGAACGGTAACTAATAATTGAACTGAAAGGAAGTAGAGATATGAATACCCCCTCTTCTAAATGATGAACAACCTGTTTATCTGAATATTAAACTGCGGCCTCAGGCCCAATATATATATGTGCACAAACTGCGGCCTCGGGCCCAAGTATACGTATACATAACTGCGACCTCAGGTCCAAAATGCATAAAGCATAAACTGCGGCCTCAGGCCCAAAGATGCATAAAGCATAAACTGCGGCCTCAGGCCCAAAGATGCATAAAGCATAAACTGCGGCCTCAGGCCCAAAGATGCATAAAGCATAAACTGCGGCCTCAGGCCCAAAGATGCATAAAGCATAAACTGCGGCCTCAGGCCCAAAGATGCATAAAGCATAAACTGCGGCCTCAGGCCCAAAGATGCATAAAGCATAAACTGCGGCCTCAGGCCCAAAGATGCATAAAGCATAAACTGCGGCCTCAGGCCCAAAGATGCATAAAGCATAAACTGCGGCCTCAGGCCCAAAGATGCATAAAGCATAAACTGCGGCCTCAGGCCCAAAGATGCATAAAGCATAAACTGCGGCCTCAGGCCCAAAGATGCATAAAGCATAAACTGCGGCCTCAGGCCCAAAGATGCATAAAACATAAACTGCGGCCTTAGGCCCAAATACAAGTGTTCAATATTCAGGGATTTAAAATCAGGAACTGAGAATCATACTGCAATATATGATAGTGAAATACTGAATCACATTGAGTTACATAATACTAGAATAATGGATCACACTGAGTTACATAATACTAGAATACTGAATAGGACTAGACTGAGACATGTATTCTTGAACTGATTATGAACACTGAAACTTCAATTGTTTATGGCATACTGAGTAATCTATACTAAGACTCGGGGGCATCAAGCCCAAGTCTATATTGAATACGCACTGAGCTCACAACGTTCAGAATGAAAGTCATGAACGAGTTATGAAGCTAGAGAATAGAAGCTCTACTACTATTCAAGGAACTAGGCTTAACTATATTTTTGAGGCAATTGATACGTCGTAAAAGAAACGTAGTGTAGGAAGAATCATTAATATTCCCAAACATAAAGAGTTGGCCTCACATACCTTAACTTCCTGCTCTTGAGCATAATACAACATTCGCCAACCCCTTCAACTTCAATCTATATTAATACAAGTCAAAGGGATTCCATATTAGCAATAATACTCATGTTTTAGTCACTTAGGCATTTTCTCAAACACTTGGTGGCATAAGCTTCATAGTCCTTATTAATGGTGTTTCTACACTCAATAACCCATTCTCTTGCTCCTAAATAAATTCTAAAGTCTCAAATAGTTATAATCAACATTATTCTTTATCACCCATAAGGTAAACAACACCCTTAACCAATAATCAACAATCAACAAGCCAAACCTATAATTGTCCATGCTTTTCTATCAAACGCATCAACTCATATCTCATGAACTTGAGTCAATAATCATTAATCCAATGCTAGAATCAATTATAGGGTGAAGACATTACCTTTTTGACGTTCAATCTTCTTGAATTCGAGTTCTAGGGTTTCTTCTCTCAACAATGATGCCCCAAACCCCCCACTAGCGCGCCCGCGCATCTGGAATCCTGCCCGCGCTAAGGGCGCGCTACCGACGCGCATATCGCATACTGTTCTGTAAAACGCGTATAAGCTTTTGCACAGAGATCCGTTCGGGCTCCATAATATATCGTTGGAAATATATTTCAAAGGCCTACAGCTTTCATGCTTTGAGTTTTCCCAAATTCCTTACTCATTTTCACTAAAACCTGCTGGAATACGAACCTTCTGCAAACTTAGTCGATTTTGTTAAATCTTATGCACCTCACTTTTCATCTTGATTTTGAAATAACTATTTTCACCCATAATCATCCCGATGGGACTTTATATGCCCAAAATATAACCTTACTACTCCTTTAACTCATTCATACCTGAGCCGAATTTACGGGGTGTTACACTGAAGCCCAAAAGTGTTGCCCAAATTTGACTTTCAAAGATCAAAGATATTTTTAGAATCTAAATTGTCAAACAAATTGTGACAAAACCACAAAAATGTAAGTTACATGAGGAGTTCACTACGTGAGACTGTGAGGGTTTAGCATTTTCAAGACCCACATATATCTGCAAACATTGATAACATATAAAGTTATTATTTTTGTTTCCCTTTAACCATCTATGGTATTTCAAATTTACTGGTCCGTCTAAATAATTACTGTATTTAATAGAACTTGAAACATCAAGTTTCATTCTAATCCGAATTTATTTGGAACCGAGGCAAAATTGTTATTGTTGTTGTTGTTGTTATTGTCGTTGTTGTTTTAGTGTATCGTTTTCAATTCTCTACCATTTATTTCAAAGAATCAGTATTAGTTATGTCGCTCTCTATAAAAGAAGCAGCGTAAGATATAATTAATGTGTAGCATATACAGTCAGACCTCTTTACAACAGCATCCTTATATAACAACCATACATTAAGGACACAATCCTACATAAACTATGTTATGTATTTTTCGACTAGCGAATACAATTAGTTTCAGTCGACTAATCAGTTATGTATTCTACTTAGATATGTTAACTCATGACAGACAAAAGACACAACAGCAAAGCGAAACGTAAATCTGATATCGAATTTAACCAAATATACTATAGTTGCTCGCTTTTACAAAGTGTTCACAATTACTCACAAGCATTAGCACTAACAATATGCTTTCCACCATCATCCAGCAATATAATTCACCAAAAAAGTTGTAAAATATTTCACTTGTATGCCGTGGCGAAGCCAAAAATTTCTTTAAGGGTGTTCAAACTTAAAATAAGTGGAAAAAAAAATTTCCAATAAAGAGTGTTCAATATATGTGAATCTTACACAACACGAATCTGAATTAGTATGACACGTGGTTTCCGAATACCAAATCCATCGAAAAGAAAAGAAAATTGAACTAGAAAATGAATTTAGATACTTATGATAGTATTCATTGTACACTTCAACTCAGGATTTTTTTTCATTCAACCATGCCAACATATCATTACGAACAATCTCAATATCTTCATAAGTCTCTCTAAATAACAATGAACCGAAACTTAATTAAAAATCCACCAAAGAGCAGGTGAGATTGATGGAATCTTTAACCCTTAACCAAAGTCTCGGATTTACATTTTAAAGAGGAAAAAATTACAAAACAACAAACTAAAAATGGACTAAAAACATCAAGGAACGGGTGAGATCGCTGTAATCCTTACCCTTATAATCAGACGTCTCAAATTCGAGTACCGCTAACATAGAAACTCAAGGTAGGGAGTGCTTGACACTGCACATCGCGAATTCAAATTAGTCAGGATCTGTCATTCAACCACGCCAACATATCATTACGAACAATCTCAACATTTTCATCAGTTTCTCCAAATAACAAGGAATGTACCATCCCATCATAAATCTTGATTGTCTTGTCTTTACTTTTAGCCTTCTGGTACAATTCTTTGCTTACTTCTGGATCAGTAACAACATCAGCACTTCCATGTAAAACCAAAAATGGAATACTTACATCATAAAGTTTAGTACTAACAAAATCAGTCACATGCATAAGTTCCACAACTGTCCCTAATCTTGGTTTTCCATTATAGCCATTTGGGTTCATTCTTGCAATTTCTCTCTTTTCTGGGACTTTTACAGATTTGTCCAAAAGATCAGTTGTTGGTACAATAGCCAAAGTTGGTACAAATCTTGCAAAAAAGGTCAAGATTTGTGGAATTGGCCATTTTGGTCTCATCTTTTCTGAAATCTTACACATGGGGGCCCTTAAAATTGCACCATTTAACATAATATTGTTCCTAAAATGGATTAATAAGCTAATAGCACCACCCATTGACTCACCAAAAAGAAATTTTGGTAAATTTTGGAATTCAGAATTTTTGGTTAGGATTGAAATAAAATATGAGATACAATCATCTACAACAAGATTTATATTTGGTACATAGGATTTGATACCTTGAGATAGGCCATGACCTTCAATATCAAGTGCAAAACAAGCAAATCCATTTTTTGCTAAAAAAATTGGAGTTTCTTGAAATATCCAACTAATATCATTTCCATAACCATGTACCATAAAAATAATACCTTTATAATTAGGAGAAGAAATATTTTTTGGTAGCCATGATTTTGTGAAAAGAGATAGGCCTCTAGGTGAAGTGAAAAAAGATTTGGTTGATTTGATATTTTGGAGAGTATAATATTCTTCTTCTGGTGTATTTCCCCAGTAATGAAGTTGTTGAGTTTGATTTATGTCTGTGTTTTGATTTTCCTCCATTTTTGGTTGGAATTTTTTCTTTGAAATGAGGAGCAGTGGTTACTATTGTAAGAAGTTTTCTAGTTGGTGTTTGATCATGAAAATGATAGAGGCAACATGTTCCCATTTTTTTTCCTCATTTTTTTTGCTTTTGGTTTTTGTCTTTTCCTATTCTTTTTGTTCTCTTTTTTTTTCTTTCGTGCCCACTAAGAAGCTTCAACCTAAGTGTAATTTTAAATTACAATACAATAATAGTTTAGTGTAATCCTATAAAGTGTGGTCTAAGAAGGGTAGTGTGTACGCAGACCAAAGGCAGACCTACGTTGGGGGTGGGGGGTCACCGAAACCTGTTAGCTTCGGCAAAAAGACTGAATATATATTTCATATATATTTATATATACAGTAAGGACCCCTGAAATATTTTATGCGACCCCCTAAAATCATAAAATCTGGACGGAGGAGTTGGTTTGTAGAAGTGCTTAAAGAACTTTTACTCTCTTGATGACCCAATTTCGAATCTAATTTCCTACAATGCATAATTTTTTTTAAATTTTATCTTTAAAGTGGAGAATGCTCAAATTCTTGGTCCGCCTCTAACGCAGACCTTACTCCTACTTGTAAAGGTAGAGAGAATATTTTCAATAAATCCTCGCTCAAAAATAATAAAAAAGAACCAATAGCAACAATACAACAATATGATTACTGAAGGTAATTTTAAACTCTAGTAAAAAATAGATGAGTATATTTTGACTTATTTTTCTCAGAGAGTTTAAACATGTGAAGTCTACTGATGATAAGGACAAAACGAGACAATTTAGTAACAAAAAGAATATGAATAGTTTAAAATTTTGATGAGGAGAAAATTTAACAATTTCAAATAGAGTAGAGACAGACTTCATGTTTTTTTAGTGACGGTAAAATTATTTCTGTGTAACTTATAGGTTATGAGTTCGAGCTATGAAATCAGTCGTTAATGCTTATATTAGGGTAGGTTGTCTATCTTACATCCTTTTGGGTGCAACCTTTTTCCGGACCTCGCGTGATGCTTCGTGCACTGTCTTTTTTTTTCTTTTTCTTTTTTTAAATGAAGGGCCAAATTTGAAATAAGTCGGTATAATTTAGAACCCCACCAACTCCATTAAGTCACCTACCACTATTAATCGTTAATTAAAATAAGGTTTTGGCCGACATAAATTCCCTTTTCCAGAAGTTATCATTTAATTTATTTTTATAGGCATGTTCATTAGTTTTTTAATTGTGCATTGGCATTTCTTTTGTTTTTTTAACGCTGGTCCTTGTCAATAATATTGAAATACAAATCGACAAACTTGCTCTTGTTTCTTCATGTCCTTTTATGGTAAGTTGCGTTAAAATACTCTTGCTTTGTCCTAATTAGGTTTTATACTTTATTTTCCTTTATTGATTGAAGTTCTCCGTAAAAATTGCACAGGGCGCTTTATTTGGTCGCCCTCATTTAACTTATATCTATTTTTTTTAAAACTTTTAACTTGTACCCACTTTTTAGATAACTTGAGCCCCCTTTCTCCTCCTTCATTTTCTTCTTCTTCTTCTTCTTTTTGAAGATTAGCAATGTAGTTAATGTTAATGATTGGCTATGTACTTGTTTGTATGGATTTCAGTTCCTATTCTCCTTCTTGACTCTGTCTATGCTTCCTCCTCGCCGTGTTGTGTTGCGGACAAATGCACACGCAAGTATACGCGATCGTCAAGTAATAAAGTGACTAAAAGTCGGATGTCGAACCCACGAGGACTTGTGATTAACTATTAACTAAATTAGACGATCCTAATTATCTAAACAAGAATTAAACCTAGAAGTATTTGATTCTAAACTAATTGAATGAAGAAATATAAATAATGAACTTTGAACAAAGAAAGAGCAGATTTTTTTATGTTATCAATATAATGAAAACGATCTAGGGTCATGGACTATCTAACAATCGTATTGTATTCTTCAATTGAATTGACTAATTAGTTTATCTTGTTTATTGGTTGATAGGGTTAATATTGCTCATAAGAATCCATCGAGTTCTTATTCGCCTATTCAAGCTAACCTAGCTCCTATATGTCTATGGAATTAGAACTAACAAGAACGCATTTATAATTCCTGTACATCAACCAAGCAAGGCAATTAGGTATATGTCTATCCTAACCACGAATCTGTTCCCCGATGCCCAGGTTCAAGAACTTGCTCTACTCAATCCTATATGTAATCTAGAATTCCCACTTTCGAGTTCAATTCAAGATTCGTAGATAGTATTCAATTGGTGATCAAGCAATTAAATAATTAAGCGCAGGATTGAATAAATAAACCAATATGATAAACTAAGAAATCAAAATCAATATTTGAATAACAATAGTCATGAAAGAACCACAACCCTACAACGTGAAGTTTAGCTCCACATAGACATGGTAGCCAAACAACAATTCATACAAAGAAACATAAGAAAAATACTAAATTTGGTAGAAGAAAAGATGGAACCCGGCCTCCACGGCGGCTCTGTGCTCTCCCTAGGTCTAAGATGTGTCAAAAGTCCTCAAAATAACGTTTTTATATGTATTTATACCAAGTAGGGTTGGGCCCAGACGAAAACACCTTCTCCCGTGCGAAATAGGACTCTGGATCTGTAAATTTTGTACAGCCGCGCCGCCCCCTGCGGCGCTCTAGTGGAGATTATCAGCAGCCTTGCATTTTTCTTGTCAGGCCAGTTTTTATACTGCTGCACTGCACCCTTCGGCGTCCTATGTGGCACGATAGTGAGAATTACCAAACCTACAAAACATGAAAGTTGTTGTCCTTTCAAATATCTTTCCAACAATATATTGTGGAGCCCAAACGGAGTCCTGAGCGAAAAGTTATATACATTTTACTAGACAATGCGTCGTATGCCCGCTCGATTCTCCAGTTCGTTCTTAACTATCATCCGTTGATCCCGAACACAATCCCGGATTAATTCCTTGGGCTTTTACTCAGACTTCAAAGCTCCAAATCACTTGAATTCATTCCATAATACCTACATAGATCGGAATCACTCGTACAAGGCATAAAACACATATTTAGTGCAAAACACTAACGATTAAAGCTCAAACTCAATTAAAGTGCAGTAAATTAGAGTGTAATAAGCGACTAAAATATACAATTATAGCCAATCATCAACACCCCACACTTAAACCATTGCTCGTCCTCGAGCAATCAAACTACACTTTATATAGACACAACCTTTTAAAACAATTCCCCTAACTTATCACACCAAAAATATTTAAAATAGACTAAGCACAAGAGTGTAACATCTTCACCTCAACATTTGACTCAAAAGTACCACGCATTATTCGCAACTCACTCACTTACTCTAACATAGAGGTCACTGACATTACCTTTCCTTCATGAATCAAGTGCCCTTCACACAACAAAAGAGAGTAGTTCCACACACTAAAATTTAAGAATACTTAGGAACTCAAGGTAGCAAGAATTCACTCACTCTCAGAAATAACATTCATATGCCACAAGAGATGCACCATAGGATTGCCCGTAGTGTATTACTCTACTAATCGAGCTCATTCATTCTAGGATCAAGTAGGACTTTATTTGGTTGTAATGTAAGTTGCGGGTCGGGTATGATACATTTAGATATAAGAGTAACTACACCTCCCTATGCACTTTATTACATACACTTTAATATTGAAAACCCCACACTTATGTCAAACCATAACTCCACTTTCACATCAATATATATTAACTCCCCACTTTTTTAAGCACAATTACATCAAGAGTCACCACTATCACAGAATATTTTCACAGCAATACAACTATTTTCTTTCTTTCTTTTCTTTTTCTCTTTTCAAGTGGCTCTTACTTTTGTCAAAACAGTGCACATTTCTCCTTATTTCATTAGTTCCACTCAAAATCCAAACCAACCACCCCACACTTCAAATTTTACAAAGTTCATAACAATTCAAGTGCTCACGAGAGGTGAAAATATTCAAATAGGTGGTTAGTTCAAACAAATGGGTAAGGCTTGTAATGTGGTTGCCAAAGAAACAAGATTACGAGCTCAAAGGAGTTGACTATGATACATAAAAATTAGGCGAGTAATATATATATATATANTTCAATAATACTAGAACATGAGATAAATAATAATATCAAAACAACCTTGATTAATTTAAATTAATATTATTAGATGAAGAAGTTATACATATGCAACCCCATTACTCATTAATCAGTCAACTACATTTTTATACAAAGGAAGGAAAATTTTATTCAAACACAAATCCAAACAAAAGGAATTCAACAGGAACAGGAGCCTGATTAATATTTCATTTCGCTTCAAACCGAGAGTGTACAAATGTGTACCTGGAAATAGTAATACAAGAAGAAATGAAGTAGGAGTCAGCAGCAATAATACCACAGCAACAGCAGATTCAGCAACACCGCAAAACCAGCAACAACCAGTAGAATAACCCAGTAACAGAAACAGTCAAAGCAGAAGAGCAAACGACACAAGATGCAGAAGTTTAATGATTTTTGCATAACACTCGAGAAAAGCAAATGGAAATTATTCGAGTGAAAGTTCAAATTGCATTTCTCTTTTACTCTCAAAATGTTTCAAGTCTGTCCGCTCTCAAGTGTAAAAATCTGTTTTCTTTTAATGTTCAAATCGGGTCTCCTTCCCTCTTAATGTTCAAGTTCTCTCTTTAATGTGTCAAATGACCTCATATATATAGCAAGACAAGTCTTGAATCCCCAACCCGAAATTATTCCCCCAATGCATGCTTTGTCCCCACTATTGAATGTTTTTTTTATTTTAAACTTTGTCCTCCATGCCTACATTAAATAAATACCTCCACCCAATCCCATTATAATTTGTTTCACATGCCTACATTAAATAAATACAATATTCCTCCCCATTATGTTTTGTCTTGTCCCCCATTATGTTAAACAATTATATCAAAAACCACCCCATTACATTTTGTCCTCCATGCTTAACATAAAGAATCAAAATAATGTTCACTTACCAAACTACCCCTCCGACCTTATTGCAATTACCATTTTACCCCTGAACTGATTGCAATTTACCAAACTACCCCTATCAGCTCTAAACAATCAATTAATCATAACTTAACC